CTATGATTCTATGATTCTATAGTCCCACCACACCATCTGGAGGGCCCCATATTCTCCACTTCCCAACTAGAAATGTGACGGTCTAATCTAGCAATGGATGGTACAGAGGAGAAGAGGCATTTATAGGCAGAATCAAATGGTTTCCACTGTCAGAGCTGAATCTCCATAACCTCATCCAGGAAATATGGAACAATGCCTATCAATTAAGGCTGAGTCCTTCAGTGATGACCAATTTAAGAGCCTTTGTTGCATTATCAAAACCATGTGTTATGGTAGCTATAGCATCTCTTTTTAAAATGTGGTATCTTTTCCTCAATTTGTTTGACATTTAAAGTTCATTTATTATCTGACAGCTCCTTTTCATTGTTCTACCTGGTGGGAAAAGCAAGAGTGTACAGCAGTGGTACTCAAACTTTTTATCCTTGTGACCCCCTTTACATCTACATGGGGATGTCATGCCCCCTCCCTTGATGTAGTATATGAATAAGGATATTGTGTTTCTTTCGTGTGCATATTTTCATTGGCACATGCATGTGTATTCACATTTTAATATTTTATAAGGAAATAACATTGTTCAAATTAAAACAGTTTTATTTAAGTAAATTCAATATTTAACTCAAATTTTACACATGAAAAAGTTTGGGAAGAGGAGGAAGAGGAGACATGGAGGGATCAGAGCCTCCAAATTTTGTGCCCCCTTGAGCAACTCTTGCACACATTTTCCACCTCAGGGTCCTACCCCACTCTTTGAGAAAACATTGTTGTGTACCAAATAGGAGAAAGTTTTCCCCTCTACTTGTTCCTGTCCTGCCCCCCCCCCCATGCCATTTTGTCCTGGTGGCATCCTCTTAGGAATTCCTGAAGTTCATTTTTTGCCTAGGCAAACTTGGCCATTATCCCTAATAGATACTGTCTACAGTCCAAACAACATCATGGCTAGGATTTGCTTCTTATATCCTTGGGCCATGTACCAAAGGTGCCTTCCAGAAAGTCAATGCAAAGAGACAAGAAGCAGCTTACAATTTTAAAAGTTCAATCAAATAATGCGCTCCTGTTATTACTTTCAGCCAACTGTTTTACCTTAGGAATTTAACATCAGGATGCTATGCTATTTCATGGTTTTTGTTATTTTAATCATACATTTTTGGAAGGTGTTACCATGTGGAGTGTGCATCTTTGTAAGAGGTAGGTGGTCCTCAAGTAACAGATTAAGCATTTAAAAATCTGCATAACCTACTCCATTTTTAATTAGTTCCATAAATTACCATGAGGCACCATAAATCCAATGCTGCCTTTATTAGAATAATACACTGATATTGAGCTGACTTTTTCCCATTTGTAAAGTATTTTAAGAGGCTCAATAAATAATCCTGTGGGGTAAGTAATTATCTCTGTTTTGTAGAAGTAGAAACAAAGATCAAGACAAAATTACTTTGCTCCTGTTCAGAAAAGATAGGCTCAGAATATAGGCTTTCCTTCCTCATGGTTCTGTTCTCTCATCACTAAATCATTCTTTTAACTTAAAGCAATTACTATTCAGCATTTAGCCCTTTGTTGCCAGACTATACCAAGAGGACAATATCAATTGTGTAGCTCATACCTTATGGCCATGCTAAATCCTCCACCCCCCTTGGATGGATGAAAGCCCCCTCTCCCAGATTTAAATGGAATTTTTCTTTTCCAGGGCTCAACTATTTTTATTATCCCACCTGTTACCCAATCTGGGACTCAAGGCAGCTTACAAAGTTAAAACTGATCCAAACAACGACAACAACATTATATGCAAGTTAAAAATATAATTAAACTCATCAATCAAATTAAAAGCATTTAAACCACTAACAAC